CCCCAAAACCCCAAAACCCCAAAACCCCAAAACCCCAAAACCCCTTTTGTTATCTATTTTTGAAAAATGGTAAATAGTAGTTCAAGCAGAACATTTGAAGTAACTAATTGTACAGAATTAAATAACCACAGATTCGTAGATAAGCTGGGACATGTTTTGGCTCATCCCTTCTTTTAGTACATAGGTTTTGTGCATCATAGAGGCATATTGTTTTCTTTCAAACTCCATCTCGAGTTTATACTGTCTGCATGCTACTAAAACTCTTTCGAATACTTTTTCAATTAAATCAAGTTCATCTGTATCCATTCCACTAAAGGTAACTGTGCAGCCTAAGGATGGGTCTCAGCCTTTAAAGATGACTAGACTTTGGAGGTATGAGGAGGCATTTTTGGGATATCTCTTTCCTCCCATCTGGTCTTGGACAATAAATTCCTCACAAGTTCCTTTCTTAAAATCCTCGTTTAAGAACTCAATTGAGGGAATGATATCAGCATTGGTTAGATACGAGAGGCTTTGCATATCCAGCTTTCCGACATTCATGACAAGAGTACAGCCTCAGTCACGAATGATCTCCACAATTTTACGTGAGACCGAACCTTCAAACACAAGTATATCAGGTTTCGCCCTGTTTATGATTTTCTCAATAATCTTTCCATAAGTCTTGTCCTGTTTCATGATGCTGTCAATGTCGATTCAGTTCTTGCGGTTATTTCTCAAAAGTGAGATCTCCCTCCACCAGGATGATCTGAGGGTTTAGGATGTTCTGACGCATCCGACGGTCAGCAATATAGTTCTGAAGAACCATACCTGAGATATATTCGCATTTTAGGTGATTCGACCATTTTACTTTTTTGATAGTCACGAAATCTTTGAATTGAACCAATTCGTTGGGCAAGTGCTTCGGAGGCTTAATCGTCCTGGTGATTTTATCCACAAATGAATGGATCGGGTAATACCTACAGGTTAGACATTACAAGCATACCATTTGTGACGAACACTGTTGCTGTAGAGGATCTTGTTTATAATAAACTCAAACCTTAGACCTGAGATAAACTCATTTTCAGGTCTTGTAAGTTCCGAAATGTCCGATTTTAAGAACTTTCTGGATAGATATTTCTCTTCCAGATACCTATTGGTCGCTTCAGGGCAGCTTTCAATGTCATTCAGCTCAGTAATACCTTCTATATAACTCTCCTTTGGAATTCGTGACTCAATAGAAGGAAATTCATCAATGTAATTTTGATGGCTCTCATACTCTTTCAAGAGCTGATGATTAAGCTTCTTAGCTGGCTTCTTCGGTAAAGCTTTAGTGGGTGTCTTTTTCTTCATATCTACATCATGTGTAACCTTCCTCATGGTCAATCCTTGGAATAGCCCTCTTTCTCTATAACCGAAATTAATCTACGGGGGTGGTTGAGATAAGATTTTTGATCATAAATTCTTTATAAAATACCTCTGAGAAGCCGGCTGAGTTTCTGAAATCAAAAATTCAGATTTCCTGTTGTTATTAGCTGAGTTAGCATAATCCAGCGTCTTGAAGCCCACTCCACCTTTAAGTTAGGGATGAACTATCTTACTTGTTTCTTTATCTTGATACTCAAACTCATTATTGCTAATTTTAGCATCATAGGATTCAATGGACTGGCTCATGATTAAATTACGATCAAAGGAGTTGGATTTTGCAAGATTTGAGATACGTTCTTCCGATTTTTCTACAAATTCTCCTTGCCACCTCTCAAGCTGCTTTGACTTTTCTTTGTCATCAAGCTCCTTACGTTTATTTCTGACTTTTTCAAGCCTACACATCAAAATGTTAGTTTTTGAGTAGATATTTTAATCTGAAATTTCTGGAGAAGTTTTCCAAAAATCTAGAAGACTTACTTAGCATGCATATTTTGTCAATTATCACAGACCCGAATCTTGCCATATTTTTCACTGGTGATCTTCTTCACACATTTAGATCAGAAGTAATGCTTTCAGAGTTTACAACTTTTCTTATTAAAGAATGTGAATTTATTTATCACAGTTGAAGCATAATTTTAAGCCAGCTGTTTGGGACTTCCGATTCTTTTCTTCCAGATCAGAAACCATGCTGGGGCAGTAAGTTTCATCGATACTTTCATTATTCTGAGCAATTTCATTACTTCTTGCTAAATAGACTCTCTCTGGGTGTCAACTTGGTCTTGAGATGATCAAGGTTGATTCTTTTAAGGTTCATTCCAGAGTCTTGTTCAAATATTTTGTCGAAATAGTCATCAACAAATCGGGAGCCAAGTCACTAAGACTAAATTAAACCAGATAGTTCCAAAAATAGCCTACCTTCTTGTGCTTGTTTGATGAGGATTTCTTGTAGCTGGGCACCTGAGTGGGATGGTTGCTCTTCCTGTGACTTTTCGAAAAAGCTTTGTAGCTTTTATGAGTGCTTTTTACCTTCTGTGACTCCATTCTGGTAAGGCCTATTTAATTTTATCAATATTATAAGCACAAGAAGGGGTTTTGGGGTTTTGGGGTTTTGGGGTTTTGGGG